TAATCCCAGCTACTCAGGAGGCTGAGGCAGGAGAATTGCTTGAACCCAGGAGGCGGAGGTTGCGGTGAGCCGAGATCGCCCATTGCACTCCAGCCCGGGTAACAAGAGCGAAACTCCGTCTCAAAAAAAAAAAAAAACATAGTAATAATAATTAAAAAGCCCAGTTAAGTGGTTTTAGTGTATTCACAGAACTTATCACCACAGTCTAAATTTAGAACACTTTAAGTCCTGCAAAAAGAACCACGGAACACATTGGCAGCCACTTCCTATTCCTGCTAGCCCCAAGTCTCAGCCCCACCCCATACCAGTCAACTGCTCATCTCCATTCTGGAAATATACGTAAATAGAATAGTTCACTATGTGGTCTTTTGTGACTAGCATTTTTTACTTAGCAAATTTTTTTTTTTGAGACACTGCCTTGCTCTGTTGCCCAGGCTGGCATGCAGTGGCGCGATTTTGGCTCACTGCCGCCTCTTCCTTCCAGGATCAAGCACTTCTCCTGACTCAACCTCCTAAATAGCTGAGATTACAGGTGCCCACCACCGTACCCAGCTAACTTTTTTATTTTTTTGAGACAGAGTCTCGCTCTGTTCCCCAAGCTGGAATGCAGTGTCGTGATCTTGGCTTACCACAACCTCCAACTCCCGGGTTCAAGTGATTCTCCTGCCTCAACCTCCAGAGTAGCTGAGACTACAGGTGCGTGCCACCATGCCCGGCTAATTTTTGTTATTAAAAAATTTTGTACTAAAAATACAAAAAAATTAGCCGGGCATGGTGGCACATGCTTGTAATCACAACTACTTGGGAGGCTGAGGTAGGAGAATCACTTGAACCTGGGAGGCGGAAATTGCAGTTAGCAGAGATTGCGCCGTTGTACTCCAGCCTGGGCAACAACAGTGAGACTCTGTCTCAAAAAAAAAAAAGAAATACATACTTTAGTAAAATTTGCAGTCTTATAGGAGTAACCCTTAGATTATGCAGTAAATATTTTATGCAGGTGGTGACTAAGTCTCTACAGCTAGGTATGAATGCTTTTTCTGGGTTCAAGTTTTATTTTTATTTAATTAATTTGTTTGTTTTTTTTTTGATGGGGGGCGGGGAGACAGTCTCACTTTGTTGCCCAGGTTAGAGTGTAATGTCATGATCAAGGCTCACTGCAGTCTTGACCTCCTGGGCACAAGTGATCCTCCCACTTCAGCCCTGCGAATAGCTGGGACTACAGGCATATATGTGCCACCACACCCAGCTAATTTTTTTTTGCTCTTGTTGCCCAGGTTGGGGTGCGGTGACGAGATCTCGGCTCACTGCAACCTCTGCCTCCCGGGTTCAAGCAATTCTCCTGCCTCAGCCTCTCGAGTAGCTAGGATTACAGGTGTGCATTACTACTCCCGGTTAATTTTGTATTTTTAGTAGAGACAGGTTTTCTCCATGTTGGTCAGGCCAGCCTTGAACTCCCGACCTCAGGTGATCTGCCTGCCTTGGCCTCCCAAAGTGCTGGGATCCTGGGTATGAGCCACTGTGCCTGCCCTTAATTTTTGGTAATTTTAGTAGAGATGGGGTTTTGCCATGTTGCCCAGGTTGGTCTTGAATTCCTGGACTCAAGCCATCTGCTTACCTTGCCCTCCCAAAATGCTGGGAGTACAGGTGTGAACCATTGTGCTCGGCTTCTGGTTCAACTTTTATACTTGTTTGTATAATCTTCATATAATAGTTTAAAATTTATCCATGTGCAGTAATATTAAGTTTGAAAGTTCATTTTAATAAGGAAATGAAAGCAATGGATGCATCCTCTGAGGATGATTAGAATCTGATAAGTGCCACTTTTATAAATGTAAAACAAAATCTTTTTTTTTATATATTAAAAAAAATTTTTTTTTAAATAGAGACGGGGTTTCACCATATGTTGGTCAGGCTGGTCTTGAACTCCCGACCTCAGGTGATCCGCCCGCCTCAGCCTCCCAAAATGCTGGGATTACAGGCGTGAGCCCAGCAACAAAATCTTAAAAACAAAATTGTAATAGAGGGGTAACAGAGCCAGAAATTACCTGTCGTTTATCATTTTTATACTTGTTCGTCATTATTCATAAACTAAATTGATTAGCCTATTATAACATGTCAGTTTGTTTTTTTTCTCTTGAAACTAAACTTTTTCGTTAAAACCTAAAAGAACCTCTAAATTTATGACCTATCAGTGTTTATGTGCCAACAAAAATTAATGTTCACAATGATTATCTAACCCTTTTAAGTGGCTTGTAATGATTAGCTTGTTTCTAATAGTGGGTGTCTTAATCCTCTGGGCTTTCATAGCACAACATTTTTTTTTTTTTAAAGAGATGGGGTTTCACTGTGTCGGCCCGGATGGTCTCCATCTCCTGACCTCTTAATCTGCCTGCCTCAGCCTCCCAAAGTGCTGGGATTACAAGCGTGAGCCACCACGCCTGACCTTTTTTTTTTTTTTTTTTTGAGATGCAGTTTGCTGTTGTTGCCCAGGCTGGAGAACAATGGTGCACTGCAACCTCCGCCTCCTAGTTCAAGTGATTCTCCTACCTCAGCCTCCCAAGTAGCTGGGATTACAGGCATGTTCCATCACGCCCAGCTAATTTATTGTATTTTTTAGGAGAGACAGGGTTTCTCCATGTTGGTCAGGCTGGTCTCGAACTCCTGACCTCAGGCGATCTGCCTGCCTAGGCCACCCAAACTGCTGGGATTACAGTCATGAGCCACTGCGCCTGGCCAGCACAGCTTCTAATGTTGGTTTTTTTTGTTTTTGTTTTTGTGTTTTTGAGATGGAGTTTTGCTTTGTTGCCCAGGCTGGAGTGCAATGGTGTGATCTTGGCTCACCTCAACCTCTGCCTCCCAGGTTCAATTGATTCTCCTGCCTCAGCCTCCCGAGTAGCTGGGATTACAGGCATGTGCCACCAAGGCCAGCTAATTTTGTAGATATTGTTTATCATATTAGGTTTTTCTTTTGTCCTGTGTTCAGCCTTCACCAGCACGGGCTTTGACCGTCACACTTCTCCAGTGTTCAGCCCTGCCAATCCAGAAAGCTCAATGGAAGACTGCCTGGCCCATCTTGGAGAAAAAGTGTCCCAGGAACTGAAAGAGCCTCTCCATAAAGCATTACACATGCTCCTGAGCCAGTGAGTTACATTGCGGAGTGGGATGTCCTTCTCTGAGTAGTCTCCGGATCTCTCATGAGCGCTGGATTGGTTAAGGCTTTGTTTAGGTGAACAGTGGCACTTCTTTTGTCACTTTTCTTCACATTTTCTTAATTCGCTTTCTGAAAGCATCTGTGTGTTTCGAATGACAGTTTTGCTTTATAGGAGTGACTTAGCTATTCCAACATAGATTTGTTAATTTGTATTTATATGTCGAGCTATTAGGTTTTAACAAATGCTTTTACCGTGTTGTAAATACAAGTTATTTCATTTCCCCTGACCACTTTTTACTGCCATTTCCTCTAGTGGCGACATGAATATAATGGCTAGGGTTTTGTGCATTGTAATGTGGGATTAACATTATATCTGTATTTTAGAATTCTGTATTTAAAATTATATCTATATCCCAGAAGTTGCTAAACTTTAGGGTTATACATCTGTCCATGGAACTGCTTCTGCATTCCTACAGAAGGAACTTCTTTCCTAGCTATGGTTCTGACCATATTAAAGCTAAAGGCAAGAAGCTAGTAATAAGGAAAGTATTAAAATAGAACCAAATATTTTATTATAAATATTAAAAATCAGCCTGTAATCCCAGCACTTTGGGAGGCCAAAGTGGGTGGATCACCTGAGGTCAGGAGTTTGAGACCAGCCTGGCCAACATGGTGAAACCCCATCTCTACTAAAAATACAAAAATTAGTGGGGCATGGCGGCAGGTGCCTGTAATCCCAGCTACTCGGGAGGCTGAGGCAGGAGAATCGCTTGAACAGGAGGTGGAGGTTGCAGTGAGCCAAGATCACACCACTGCACTCCAGCCTGGGCGACAGAGGGAGACTCTATCTAAAAAAAAAAAAAAAAATTTTTTTTCTTTTTTACTTTCATGTAAGCAAAGTATATCTAGATTACCATTTGCTAGAAGAAAGAAATTTGGGTTTTAGGAGAATTTAATTTTTTTGCTGCATAGTATCGTGAAATGAGCAAATATAAAAATACTAATTACGCTTAGTAAAATGAAATCGTATTTGATAATCTCAGTACTTTGGGAAGTTCAGGTGGGAGGATTGCTTGAGGCTGGGAATTAAAGGCCAGCCTAAGCAACATAGCCAGACCCTGTCTCTACAAAAATTTTTTTTAAAATTAGCCAGATGTGGTGGCATGTTCCAGTAGTCGCAGCTACTTGGGAGCTTGAGGTGGGAGGATCACTTGAGCCCAGTAGTTTGAGGGTGCAGTGAGCTATGATCACACCACTGTATCCTGCATCTTGGACAGCACAGCAAGACCTTGTCTCTAAAAATAAACATTTAAAAAATAGTATTTGGATTTTCTTAATACATAGTCAAATTTAAATAGAAATGTGGAGAGAAGTATATGGGTGTTGGGGAAGGAAACTTTATACAGGAAATTTGGATTTATAGCAGTGGTTTTCAAAAAGTGTTCTGTGGAGCCTTAGGCACTGAGGTGCTTCAGGAGTCCTGAAGAAGTGATGGGTAGAGTGAGTGGATTGAGCTCGTTAGGGCCTTTCCACTCTGCTCTTTAAATTTTATTTATTCATTTTAAATTTTGTGTGGAGACAGGGTCTCACTGTGTTGCCCAGACTAGTCTTATAGCTCCTGCCCTCAAGCAACTCTTCCACCTCAGCCTCCCCAAAGTGCCGAGATTCCAGGTGTGAGCCATTGTACCGAGCCTTATTCATTTATTTATTTATTTATTTTTCCACTCTTCTTAAACCAAAGCACGTGTACTTTTGTATATTTTATAGTCTGGGGTTACATGTAAGACTTGAAGAAAGAAATTTGCTGCTTCACTCCTCTCCCCGCAAAAATGTAAAAGTTACCGTGACTAGGAGTAAAATAATGAAGTGAATGGTGCGGACAAAAGAATTTTTTTCGAAATTTCTTACAGACTTTGGGTTGGAGCAAACCATTTCACCCTTAACGTTTCAGTTCTCCATGTGTTAATTTTAACTTTATGGTATAGTATAAGCTCTTCAAAAACAGTGCTATATAACTTTTAAAAGTATTGTTTCTAAAGTCCTTTTTATAATCTATAGGAAAAATTGATGTCTTCTCACTGCAAAATCTATTTAAAGGAGAATTGTCTTGGGTGAATGTTTATTTTTTTTCCCAAATCTTGATAGAATTATTTTTGAAATTGCTTACGTATTGAAGTCAGATCTCTTTCTTTTTTCAGAAATCTAGTTTTAGAAGTTTTAAGCTCTGTTACTAGTACTTGAAAATAACTAATGGATGATAAACGATAAACTAGAAGTATTATAAAGGTTGAAGGAATATCGTAAGGTAGAAAATACCACTGATTTAGCTACTTTTCTTTGTATTAGATTTTCTTTGAATGTTTTAATCTGCTGCATTTTTTGTGCATATATGTCTGTATATATAATGTTTCAAATCGTGTTTCATTCAGAATGATGCTAAAATACTTTAGCCTGGTAGGCAAACAACCAGTAAGGACTACTGTGACCCCCAGCAGCACCAAATAGTTCAGGAAAGGAAGTGAAGGGGCTGGTATATGCAAGTAAAGCTTCAGGAAGAATATAGGTAGGTAGACTGTGTATATCTGCTGAAGTTCAAGTTTTACATGAATCTGCTACTTAGCCCAAGTCGTCTAAAAAGTACTAGGCTCATTTTAATGGGAAGGTGATATTAGGAAGACAGTATGTGCTGTATACATTTCATCATTATAGAGGCCATCTCTGATATGTCATTTCCTTTCAGTATCACTGTAGTATTGATTTGTTGCAGGTAAAAGAATGATACCTGTGTCTTCGGGATTCTTTTCTGAGATATCTAGACCAGTGCTATTCAGTGGAAGTCACATATAATGCAGTTAAAAACTAGCAGGCATGTAAAAAAAGTAAAATTTTAATATTTCATTTAGCTCAGTACATCTAAAATATTTCATCGTGTATTCAGTACAGAAAATTATTGAGATATTTTGCGTTGTTTTCTTTTTACTCTGAAATCTAATGTGTATATTATACTTTCAGCACACTAGCCACATTTCTAATGCTCATTAGCCACACGTGACATCTAGACACTGTCATGGCATGTGTCAGAACCCTAACTTGAAGTGGGAGTAGTATAGTAGCCTGTGAAACCACATCTAACTGAGTGTGAATTCCTGCCTTGCTGCTTTCCAGCTGTGTGGGTTTGGGATAATTTCTTACCTTTTCTGAGCTTTGGTTTCCCAATGTGTGATGTGATAATATATAATATAAAATATGAATATATAAAATGTTAAAACCTAACATAACAGGCTGCCGTTAAGTGGTAGCTATTATCAATCTGAAATTTTTTTTTTTGAGGCAGAGTCTCACCCTGTCACCCAGGCTGTAGGACAGTGGCGCAATCTCGACTCACTGCAACCTCTGCCTCCTGCGTTCAAGCAATTCTCTGCCTCAGCCTCCCGAGTAGCTGGGATTACAGGCACCTGCTACCATGCCTGGCTAATTTTTGTATTTTTAATAGAGATGGGTTTCATCATTTTGGCCAGGCTGGTCTTTCTGAACTCCTGAGCTTGAGACCCACTCGCCTTGGCCTCCCAAAGTGCTGGGATTACAGGCATGAGCCCCTGCACCTGGCCAATCTTAAATATTCTTAAACTTAAAGAGATCATAGCCCACAGTGGTCAGAGCAGAAAAATGCCTTTGCGGTGAGATTTTAAAACCCTGCAAAAGCAAGACTCCCTCCCTCCCTCCGTCCCTTCCTTCCTTCCTTCCTTCCTTCTCCCCCCTACGTTCCTTCCTTTCCCTTTCCCTTCCCCTTTCGTTCATTTACTTATTTTCCTCTCTTCTCTTCCTTCCCTTCCTCCCTCCCTTCCTTCCCTTCCTTTACTTTTTTTCCTTCCTTCTTTGCTTCCATCCCTCCTTTCCTTCCTTCCCTCCTTTCCTTCCTTTCCCTTCTTTACTTCCTTCCGTCTTTTTCTTCCTTCCCTCCTTTCCTTCCTTTCCTCATTTCCCTCCTTTCCTTCCTTTCCTCTTTTCCTACTTTCCTTCCTTCCCTCCTTTCCTTTCCTTCCTTCCTTTCTTTCTTGAGTTTTGCTCTCATTGCCCAGGCTGGATGGAGTGCAATGGTGCAATGCCGGCTCACTGCAACTTCCACCTCCCGGGTTCAAGCCATTGCCTCAGCCTCTGGAGTAGCTAGGATTACAGGTGTGTGCCATCACGCCCAGCTAATTTTTGTATTTTTAGTAGAGATGGGGTTTCACCACGTTGGCCAGGCTGGTCTCGAACTCCTGACCTCAAGCGATCTGCTGCCTTGGCCTCCTAAAGTGCTGGGATTACAGGTGTCAGCCACTGTGCCTGACGCATTCTTTCTTACATGTTTGTTAATACTTTGTCCAAAAGGAGGGAAGGTAAATTTTTAATCTATTAATTTTTAATTCCTAGATTTTAATTAATTTTTAATCTATTATCTGAGCAGTTGATGCCTTCATAGGTTACTTGACACCAAGTCTTTTGTTTTTAAAATTTATGCAGGAAACCAGTACTTAAAGTACTTGAAGTCACTCAACAAATGAGTGTTATCATCAGTGATTCGAGTTTTAGGTATGACTAAGGCTTACATACAAACAATCAGACAGGCTTGTCTCTCTACCCTTGTATCACCATAATACTCCTATTTTTAGTTAAAAATAGGACTCCAGCTGGGGGTGGTGGCACAGGCCTGTAATCCCAGCTAGCACTGAGGCTAAGGTGGAAGGATCACTTGGGCCCAAGGAATTTGAGACCAGCCTGGGGAATGTGGGAGACTCCATTTTTGAGACGGAGTCTCGCTCTGTCACCAGGCTGGAGCACAGTGGTACCATTATGGCTCACTGCAGTCTCCGCCTCCTGGGTTCAGGTGATTCTCCTGCCTCAGCCTTCTCAGTAGCTGGGACTACAGGTGTGCATCACTAAGCCCAGCTAATTTCTTGTCTTTTAGTAGAGACTGGATTTCATCATGTTGGCCAGGATGGTCTTAATCTCGGCCTATCTCGGCCTCTGCAAGTGCTGGGATTTTGTGCCCAGCCAAAAAAAATTTTTTTTTTTTTTTTTTTTTT